AGAGCATTGCCACTCTCTTCCATCTGTTAGTCTATTGACTGAATTATTTCAGTTTTAGGCCATTTCTCTTTATATTTCAATTACTTATGAAAGACTTCAGGATTTATTTTCTTGTAATATATTTTATTGATTTTTTAAAAAACATAAATCACTTAATTGGTGAACAGTGTGTTGTCTGGGTTTACATTTATAAAGCAATCACTAACAATTGATTTTCATAATCCACATAATAGTTTTAGTTGATTTCCTCTTTTCCCACAAAATCCTCTTTTGCAAAACATTGAGTTAATACAATTCTTGTTTCGATAGATAACAATTAAATATATATTTTTCCCAATATTCCTAAAAATAATAATCTCATCAATATAATATTTCTTTTCTATCCGAACATTCTGGTTGCCTTATCATAGATCCTATTACAGTCCTTATTTTAATTTTTTCTCCCACCAAATTCTAGGTATTCTTATCGGTTAAGATTTTCTCAAAAATTAATTACATTTAAAAATTTGACTCTATTTTTTTCCATATGAACCATCTCACACTTTTACATTTCCTAAGGGATAGATAAAACAGTGAAAAAAAAGAAAGAGCAAGAGTAAAGAAACATAAAAAATAACACACTACTTAAAATATATATCCCTCCTAAGCTAATATATATTTGTTTCCAAGATTTCTTATTCTTTATTAACCATAATTAAAAATATGTTTAATCTTTAAATATTCCAATTAATACATCTAATCATCTAATCCTTTAACTCTTATTCAAAACATTTTTAATCCATTATAATTTTCTTAAATTCAATCACATTTAAATATCTAAAACATTTCCTTTATCTAAGTCATTGCAACTTTTTTATATTACTCATATCAAGAAAGAAAATAAAAAAGGGGAAAAAGTATATTATATTATTTAGGGAGTTCATCCCTCTTAGAATGACATATATATTCCAAATCTTTTCTATTTCTTTAACCATATTCAAACAAATATTTCTTTTTTAAGTGTTCTCTCTGGTAAGTCCCATCATCTATTTTCTTGGTTTCTACTTTAATCTTTTTCCTTTGCCCAATATCTTTCATAATCAATGTATTTTGCTGAATCAAAAGGTTTTTCCGTATGTTCGTAAATGTTATTCTAGAATATAAAAAGTAAATCAAGTGAAGTGTCTTTGTATAGGGCTTCTGCCTTTCCATGTTTGTTGAAGATCTTTTTCTTTTTTTTCCTCTCTGCTTCTCTTATCATTTCCTTTCTCTGATGTTCCTGACATTTCTGCAGTCCATTTTATCCAATTTGTTTTCTTGTCGTCAGATTTATGTTGTAGTCTTACGGGATAAGTTGTTTTTTTCCAATTCTTGTAAAAAAAATTTCTACTAGAATTAAATCATGTTTCTTTGTTTTGTTAAGTTCCATTTTAAGTCTCTATTCTCAATTCTATATCCATTTATCTGTTTTATCTGCTCCTTCTCTGTTGTTGTTTTCTGGGAATTTTTTTGCTGTAGAGTTAATTTGGAAATAGATTGATTTATATTTTCAAAGTTATTTTGGATTCCTTTATGATTTAAAGTCATTGTTGTTTGAAATAGTTGCAGTATATTATATATCTCCTCCTATGAAGTATTTATGTTTTCTTGATATGTTCTTTCTACATGTCTCTGATCCATGATGGCCAAGAATTTGAGTTTTTCTCTTCCTTTCTTTTCTCTGTAAATAGCTTTAGAGTCCCAATTAAATAGATATTTGTAATCCAAATAGTTCAAAAAAGGTTTTTTTTTCCTGAAATTTATAATTCTCTCTTTGTCTGCAGCCCAGATTATTGTCTTTTTTTTTTAAATCACAGCTGTTCTTTGTTGTTAAAGCTTTGAAGGTCACAGACACAGATTGCCAAGTCTTATATTAAAGTCATAGCTATCATAGTTTTCATCCTCCACTAGGTGTCAGCAACATTTCACTTCCATGTATTTTGCTCCTCCATAAAAAGATTAATTCGCCGCTTCCATTAGTATAAGGGTGGGGCGGAAATCCCCCTCCTTCCCTTTTGGAGGTATTTTGCTTCTTGGAGATCTTTTCCAGGAAATTACATATAAAGTAGAAAAGAGAAGATCGGATTCCTCACCCAGTTTCAAACACGCTGTTCACAATTGTGCTGATTAGTGTTTTTGGACTTCGGTTGCTAGTAGCTTGGGCTGGTCGATGGAAAACAGCCAGCCTTTCTCCTGTCGGGTTAGAAGGCTTTCCCTAAGTCGAACGGAATGGCCACCACCGTTCCAGAATCGCTGGAGCACCCTTCTTTCTTTGCCACCTCTCCGGGTCCCCTGGCAGGGCGAAATTAGCCACGGGGGTGTGGAGAATCTGCAAGCCCGTGACTGGTCGCTATGGCGCAAAACCGAAAGTTAAGACTTAAGGATTTAGTTTAACTTGTCCTGAGCGTCTAGGATGCATTCACTTATGTTAGATGCTACTATTACACAGGCGCAAGAGAAGAACAGCTTCTTCCTTTTATACTCTAAACATTTTGTACTTGTTTAATTACCAAGCAAAGAGTAAAATATAGTGTTTCTGAGAAGAGTTCTGGGTTTAAGTTACATCAGATTTTCATTTCCACTTTCTTAAAGAAAACCACTATTAACATTTTTTTCTTCATAGCTTGATCAGTCTGTTTTGGAAGCACTGCCTTCTGATCTTCGGGAACAAATAGAACATGCATATTCTCTTCAACTAATAGATGCACATGATAATAGCAAGAAGGAACCAATAAATGGATACAATACTAGCTTTCCATCCCAGCCTGCTGGAACCGTTCTATTACAGATGCCAGATCAGAAAGAATCAAGCAGTAATGCTGGGATTAATATAATAGCACTTCCAGCATTTTCACAGGTAAGTAATAATATGTATTAGTAGATTTAATGTGGTAAGCATTTTCTATAGAAGTTCTGTTAGATTTCTAGTTAGAAACACCATTAATATAAATCTATTTCTTACACTAGAGCCAAAACTCAGAAGTTTACACATTATAGTAATGTTTCAGTGATTTCATATCAGTGATATACTCACAAGAGGATGCTTTATTACTTAGGTGGATCCTGATGTTTTTGCTGCCCTTCCTTCAGAATTGCAGGAGGAACTTAAACAAGCATATGACCAAAGGCAAAATCATGTAGAGAACATATTACAGCAAACAAGTGCCACTGGTAAGTCTTTGAATGCAGTCCTGTCAAATAATTACGTGTAATCTTTTTTATTGCAACAAATTTGTGTTACAATGTCTGTGTCATGGTTATTTCTTTAATCATAAAATACTATGCAATTCTCAGTCTTATTTCTTTCTTCTCAGCATCAAAGAATCCAGTTATAAAAAGTAAGAAAAGAACTAGAAAGAAAATCCAGGTCAGCCCAGTAAAAAAGAACCTTAGTCCTTTCAAAAACAAGTGTTTGGGTAACCCTGCAAAAAATATGGTTGTTTCTGTTGGAAGTCCTCAGAAATTAATAGATAACTTCTTGAAACAGGAAAAAGCAATCAGTGACAATCCTCAGGTAACTTTATAAGATAATGCAGCATTTCAGTATTTTTAAACTCATTCTGATTTAAAATAATAAATTTCTTATTTTTCTGGGGTTCTTGTGCTTGGGCTTATTAAATGTTTCCTATTGAGAAGGCAATAAATTTTTATTTTTATATATCTTTCTGGATAGATGGAAGAAGTACAAGCTATTACAAATCCTTCCAGTCCATCTATTTCACAGCCATTATCGTCTACCACAATTTGGCCTCAAGCACCTAATCTAGCAGGAGCTATTGAGTTTAACGATGTAAAGGCCTTGCTTAAGGAATGGATTACAACTATATCAGGTAAACTCTAGGTGTATTACTTTTTAATGAAAGAGTTGGTGTATCTTGTAAGTAAACTTAATTGAATCAAAGCTACATTTCATGTTTGTACTGGATGTCATCAAATAATTGCATTCTATAACCCTGGTATTATTTTTGAATAGAAGAGGAGATTCAATATTTAAAATACTTTAATTGATTTTTAATGTTATTTACTGTACTTTTTAAGAGCTACTGTGGGTTTACACTATTGCCTGCATTCTGTAGTCTTCAAAGGATATTTCTCTTAAAATGCCAGAGAAGTGTCTCTTCCAGTATACATATTTCAAATTAGACAATGTTCAAAATCACACAAGATTTTGTATACATAATAAAACACAAGCAGCTTACTTTACTCACTTGAAAGAGGCAGATTTTTTGTTTTAAAAGGAATGTCAATTTACATCAGCATCAAAACAGCCTTTAATTTAAAGCTGCTTAATTTCTGTTGCTTCTAAGAGGCATCCTATAAATTATGTATAATTTTGCAGATCCCATGGAGGAAGACATTTTGCAAGTTGTGAAGTATTGTACTGATCTGATAGAAGAAAAGGATTTAGAAAAGCTGGATCTAGTCATAAAGTACATGAAAAGGTAATTAGAGGCTAACGTATTTTTGATATATAGAAATAAAAAAATCCAGATATTGAAAATAAATTATAAAACTTTTGATTTAAGAATTTCAGGTAATGATTCTTTATACTTGCATATCTTGCATTTGTCATGTTATTTTCCACACAATTGAATATCTGGGACTTGTTCATTTGTGGTACTACATCCATCATTTATTGTGGATCGATTTCTCTGCATTATACTGGTGGGTTTGCCCTTGCAATGTTCTGGAAGATTTCTGAGAGGAAGCCTGTATGGCAGTCCTGCCTCTCTTCTGCCTGCTTTGCGTTAACTTGCCTCAAATCTCCTGCATTGCAATATTATTCCAGATTTATTAGGATATTATATCACCAACTTTATTAGGAGTGTTCTCTGTAATTTTGTATTCTGAATATAGACACATGAAGAATATGGGGAGTTTTCCTTTTTTCCCATTTTGTTCTATTAAAATGTTTTTTCCCCCCTTTTGTTCCCAGCTTTTTTACCACATGACCAAGGCCCACTGTGCCCCAGCTATCGGTCCACAAATCCTTTCTGTTTAGCAGGATATTGTGTGTATTCCTATCCATTGCCCAAAGTATTAGAATCAGAATTAATCCTCTTGCCTTCATATTTTCCTCTGGAAGAAAGCTTTAAAAGCTATTGCTATAGCTTCAAATAAGTTTTCTCTCTTCAGACTCTGCCTGCTAGATGCAAGTGCTCTTTTTTTCTCTCTCTATGGCCACATCTATGGCAGTGAAATAAAGTTAGCTCATCTATATGGAGTCACGAAGACTGAAACTTCATGAAAGCTTACTCTTTCATGCCCCCCTCCCCCTTCAAGTAATTGACAAGGCCATGCCAAGATCCACAAACCAAAATTCTTGCAGTTTAATGATCTCTTAGTGAAATCAGGGACTGTTGTCTTACTGCAGCTATCAAATGACAATCAGCAGTTTCCTCGGTAATAAGCCACGTTTATGTTTCTGCTCTTCCACTACAGTCCTTTTACGGGGTAGTAAAGCAACTTGTCTTATAAAGTTTAAGCACTGTGAAACTACTTCTATTTGGCAAAAAAATCCTGTTTTATTATTTTATTCAAGAAATTGTTCACTTAAGCAATTAAACTTGTTAAACAATTAGAGGTTTCTCTGCCATCTTTATGAAAGTTTATTTACTTCCCCTTTCTCCCTTTCATGCCTATTGATGGTTCGTCTGTCCCATTCCCTTCTTCCATAACCAATATTCCCACCCCCACGATAGGATTAAATGGCTTGAAAAAAAATTGAATTACAACATCAGTAGGAAGTATTAGGAGCTTCTATCTATTCACCTCTTGCATCTGTTGTAATCTTCCTCATGGCTTTGGTCTGTCAAACAAGTATTCAGCCATCAAGAATCAATCCTGGTTTATCTGATTTAGTACAGTGGTGAAGTTGCACTCAATATGATCACCTTTTCCTAAGAGCTTTAAATTCTACCTTTCCCAGGCAACTTTATTACCATTTTTCTACTCCAGTTCTTTTAGATGTTTGGAATCTTCTTTATGTGATTGCAAGTGAAATGCAGCTTATCTGTTTACAGTAACAAAGCTGCAACTTTGTGAATCACGTTTTGATATAAAATCAGCACAATGCACAGCGTGATCAGCATGATGCACAGACTACAAACAAAACAACTGTTTGTTTCTCTATAACTAGTTGAATGGCTCCAGGATTTCACATAATCCACCTGCCATAATTTCTTGCATGTGCTCCTTTTGCTAAGCTGCCCTAACTGTTAAGGAATTGAGGAGATAGCAGGCCTGAATAAACCTCTACAAATGGATAAGATTTCAGACAAGAGGTTAGTTAGAACTTGTTCTGAAATGTTCTACAAATGTGCAAACCCATCAATTTGTATGCTCAGAATAATCCTAGTTATAGATAAGGAGTTGGAGTTTTTCTGTTCTTTGAATTGTTCTCATTAAATACCAGTTATACTGTTTCTTATAAATTTCTGTAAATTTGTAAACTGACAAATATTTTGACTACATTTCATAGTTCAAATCTCATGATTTAATACCTAATTACAGAATGCATAATTTTGTATGTCTTGTGCCACTTTACATTTATTTTTAAAATGATCTTGCATAGACATTTTAGCTAAGTGTATATGTTTGCATGTATTTTTCCATCAACAATATTTTAAGTATTTTCACACAAGAAAGCAACAGGACCAGGGCTGTTCCAGCTCAAAATCTTGCTCTGTAATCTGTGAAAAAGTGTGATGATGATTTTTCCTTTCCATTCTATCACTTTTTTTTATCTCCACAGGCTAATGCAGCAGTCCATAGAATCAGTATGGAACATGGCATTTGATTTCATTCTTGACAATGTTCAAGTTGTTCTGCAACAAACTTATGGAAGCACATTAAAAATTATCTGATCTTGTAGAAAGGGAAATGGCAAGAGCCTGGAGCTCTCTGATAGCTGTACCATAAGTGCTTGTGAGGTATTTGCAAAGTGCATGACATTAAGCTAAGTTTTTATAAGTTGATTTTTTTTAAAGGAGAAGGTGTTTTGTACATTTTCTTTCAGCAAAGTGCCAAAATTTGTCAGTATTGCATGTAAATAATTGTGTTTAAATTCTTTTATTGTAGTATAGAATCGATTTACAAAATGTTTGTTTATAAAAGTTTTATGGATTTTTACAGTGAAGTGTTTACAATTGTTTAATAAAGAATTGTATGTAATTTGTACATATCTTGTTTCACTAGTTTAATTTTCTTTCCTAAATCCTATAAATTTGAACAATTAATATTAGTTTTCATATTTTCATTGGGTAAACATTTATTTTCATGCTCAGTTACTTCACAGTGGCAGAAGGCTCTCTGAAAAGTGCTTATCTAGTAATTTGGACTTTTTAAAAAAAGAAATTCATTATTCTTGGAGTATAAACATGAACAACAAAATCCTGGCATTGCATTTCTGTCTCATAATTGGCTAAATCTGATAATACTAATGCAGCTGGTCTATTCCTACTATTTTTCTTTAATATCAAACACATGTAAGAGACATGTTTCTATTCACAAAATACTTAATTTCCATTACTAATAACAGTTTTCCTTCTATTTAAAGAGATTGTGTTATAGCAGTTTACTGAAATCTTTAAAAATTTAAAGGAAAGAAGAGCGTCTATTGGATTAGGTCAAGTGGCAGATCTTACACTTTAGCAAATGGACTTCTTTTTGCATCCACACTACTAGCTGACTGACAAAACATTCTCAACGAGTAGTCCTCAATGCTACTACATCCATACGGAGAGAAGTAAGCAATGGGGTACCACAAGGTTCCATCTTAGGCCCAGTACTCTTCAATATCTTCATTAATGACTTAGATGAGAGAATAGAAAGGAAACTCATCAAATTTGAAGATGACACTAAACTGGCAGGAGTAACCAACACTCCAGAAGACAAGCTCAGGATCCAAAAAGATCTTGACAAACTTGAACAATGGGCCCTATCCAACAAAATGAGTTTTAATGTGGAGAAAAGCAAAGTTTAATATTTAGGCAGGAAAAATCAAAGGTTTAAGTACAGATTAGGCGAGACCTGGCTCAAAAACAGTAACTGTGAGAGGGACCTTGGGAGTCCTAATGAACGATCACTTGACTATGATCCAGCAGTGTGCAGCCGCTGCCAAAAAAGCTAACACACTCCTGGGTAGTATAAACAGAGGCATGGAATCACGTTCACGTGAAGTATTAGTACCGCTTTATAAAACTCTAGTGAGACCATACCTGGAATACTCAACCAATTTTGGTCACTATATTACAAAAAAGATATTGAGACTTTGAAAAAAGTGCAGAGAAGAGCAATTAACACGACCAGGGGCCTGGAAACTAAAACATATGAAGAATGGCTGCAGGACCTTGGTTTAGCTAGTCTAAAGAAAAGAAAAATAGGGTGACATGATAGTATTCCAGTATTTGAGGAGCTGCCACAAAGAAGAGGGGGTCAAATTATTCTTCGAAGCACCAAAGGGCAGGATGAGAAACAATGGTTAGAAACTGATCAAAGAGAGAAGCAACCTGAAATTAAGAAGAAACTTCCTAACACTGAGGACAATTAAAATAGATCATGCCAGACAAAAAATAGATCACGCCAGACAAATCTTATTGCATTTTTTGACCAAGTGACAAAATTAGTGGATGAGAGGAATGCTGTGGACATAATTTACTTGGACTTCAGTAAGGCATTTGATAAAGTACATCACAACCTACTACTTGACAAGATAGAAAAATGTGGGGTAGACAGCATCACCACCAGATGGATCCGTAGCTGGCTGACCGGCCGTACTCAGCGAGTGGTCCTCAATGGAACCG